CTCCCTCCCGTCATCTTCCCAGCTCAGGGAGGCTGGTGGCTCCATACCCCCTGAGGATAAAGATGAAGATCCAAAACACAAGTGCTGAATAAGCAGCACCAGCGTTATCCCAGCCAGGCCCTCTGCCGGGTGCTTGGTATACATCAAGCTCTCCCAGCCTGGGTGCTGTTCATATTCGGGGCTGGAGGATTCTGTGGCAAGGGCTGGTTTGTTATTTTAAGGAGGACTAGCAGGAACCCTGGCCACTACCCACAAGAGGCCAGTGACATAGCCCAGTTGTAACAATCAAAAATGTCCCCAGAAAGTTCCAAATATCTCTTGGTGCGGGGGGGCGCGGGGGGTCGCAACACTCAGGTTAAGAACCATCAGTCCACATTTATATTAACTCATTTATACTTCATAATGTGAATATTCTTTACTGTCTCCATTTTACAGAAGAGGAACTGAGGCTCACAGAAGTTAACTAACTTACCCAAGATCATATACTAGCAGACACACCTTGGCAGTCTGCTCCTCATCTACTTACTTGATGGACATGCGGTGGGGGCGGGGCTGTCTTGCTGCCCTTTGTAGCTGGCAAAGCTGTGAGGCTGGCCCAGCTAGGCTGGGCGAGTAGGTGCTCTGGGAAGGGTGATTAGGGACAACCAGAGAGGTCTGTAATTCTCCAACTTTATCTCTAACCTTCTGTCAGGCCAGGGCGCCCCACCTTGTGACTGAATTAACATTTCAGGTCAGTTTCATCGAGAGCAACCACTTAATGTTCCCAAGATGCTTCTCTCTTTCCAAAGCATCTGTTCCTAAGATTCCACCTTCTCCACCCTGAGAGGCAAACAGGTCCACATTGGCCAGAGTCATTCGCTCCACTGAGGACCATGGGGGGGCCAGGCTTGGGCCAGGCGGGCCTGCTGTAGCTGTGTACCCTGGCCTTCCCTGCCCCACCTGCAGCTGATCTCTCTGGAACAAGGCCAAGGCCCTGTGGAGCTGTCCCTCCTCACAGCTTCTCCACCCCTCAAGCCACCCCACTTGGTCCCATCGTGGCCCAGGCTTCTGTCGCCGGAGGTGCGACTGGCTGTCCTGATTGGCTCACTCACCAGCACACGTTGTCATGCAGGCCTCCTGTCCTGCTGGTGACTCAGGAAGTTCTGAAAGCGCAAACCAGATGGAATCAGTGCAAGGCCATCGAGAGAGGCTGGGGACAGCCAGGCCTGTGGATACCAACCTGCTAGGAAGAGGATATCTAGGGCTCCAGGGGGCCTTGCCTGCTCCACCCTACCCTGGGCACTGGCACCACTGTCCCTCGGGTTGACCTGGAGATCACCTGCGTATCCATGTCTTTCCTTGTTACAACCCCAAGGCCAGGAAGTCAGCAAGGTCTCCCGGTGCCATCCGTCCATCCTTCCCTCCCTTCACCAATCTGTCCACACGTGTCTATCTCCACTGCAGTCTGTGTAGGCACAGTCACAGCTTTTCTTGCCTGGACAACTGCAATAGCCTCTTAACTAAGCCCTCGGTGTCTGTGATCCAACCGCCTCCCCACAGCACCCACCCATGCCTCTTTTCCAGTTCTGTGGATCAAACCCAGGGCCTCATGCGTGCGAGGCAAGCTCCTGTCACTGAGCTACACCCTGAGTCCCAGGGTCGTCTTTTAAAAACACAAGTCAAGTGTAGCATGGTGGCACACGCCTCTAATCTTATCACTCTAGGGAGCACAGGCAGGAGGATCACAAGTTCAAGGCCAGCCTTGGCAACTTAGCAAGACCCTGCCTCCAAAAATAAAAAGGGGTTGGGAACGTAGCTCAGTGCAAAGGCCCTGAGTTCAATTTCCAGGGCTGCAAAGCATAAATAAAAAATTGTCATTTTTTTTTTTTTGAGACAGGGTCTTGTTATGTAACCCAGGTTGGCCTTTCATGAACTTGCAGCGATCTTCCTACCTCAGCCTCCCAAGTGCTGGGATTACAGGTGTGACCACCACACCTGGCCCTTAAACATTTTAAATATTAAAAAATTCAGATCGTGGGGCTGGGGATTTAGCTCAGCGGCAAAGCGCCTGCCTGGCAAGCGCAAGGTCGTGAGTTCCGTTCTCGGTACCGGAGAAAAACCAAAAACAACAACAACAAAAAAATGCTAAACAAAAAATAAAAAATTCAGATCGTAACACTCTAGTGTAACAGTTTGGACCTGTCTCTCTTACACACACACTCACACACACTCACACACACAATCACACACACTCACCCTCT